CTTCTTCTTCTTCTTCTTCTTCTTCTTCTTCTTCTTCTTCTTCTTCTTCTTCTACTTCTTCTTCTTCTTCTTCTACCCATGTGAGTTGTTAGTGGATACTCTCGTGTGGTTTGCTCCTTCTTTTTTATCAAACATCTATCGTCCTTATTCTCCTCCTTGCCCTTGTATGGTGACACTTCTAGTTTTTGGCACTTATATCATGAGCTCTATTTGCGTTGCAAGTGTCGCAAAACTCATACAAAAACAAAACTGAAACATGTGCAAAAGTGCATTGTTAGTGTTGTCGCCATTGCTGTTGTTGCCGTTGCTGATAATTAACATCTTGTTAACAAGACACCGAGAGCGTCGTTTAAGAACGTAGAGCTCTCTGTCCACTGTTCATGGCATTATGCTCAAATTTGGTTTTCTTTGGAGACGTGGAAAAATCCTGTCTCCTCTTCGACGTGCATGTCGCTTCTTCGAGTGTTGGCCAAGTTCCTGACCAACTACGACACAGCAGTCATCCTTTAAAACGTTTTAGTAAGAGTTCTATGGCACTTGCAACACAATAAGGTCATATAAGTGCCGCAGTCATCTTTTAAGGTTGTCGAATGTTCAACGTTTAGAATAGGGCAGAGGGTTCAATAACTAAAATGGCTAAAAGTGATCTCGCACCTTTTGGGTTCTTATTTATTCAAAAAGAATTTGATACTCTATTCTTGTGGCGAGGAGGTGAGTAGCCTTTTGTACTGTTGCTACTTTTAAATGAGAACCGAAACCGCATAACCGCATTGTTCAAATTCAGATATGGCTCTTCATAGAAATGTTCTGGGTTCTCAGTTTCGCAAATCGTAGAGCGAGAACGATGGATAAGTATCATTTTACACATTATGAGAAGCTATATTCTGTTTTGAAATAATTTTAAACGCGCCAATGTCCGATTCAGGCTAAACGCCTTAAGATTTCTTCACTTGTTGGAGGAGGGTGCGGTTTCTGTGGGGGTGGAAGTGGAGCGGTTTCGGGGGGGGGGGGGGGGGGGCGGGTTTAATGTTCCGTTTTTTTAGCATTTAATATTTATGTGTTTATTATATTATTTAGTAAAGACTAAGAGGGGAAATTGACAGGACAGCTGCTGTATTCCTCTCAGCCCGGGTTGACCTTGGCAGGTAGGGTCGGAAGCCCGCTTCCTAGACGATCTAAATTGTGTTGATGGGGGCGTAAAATAACACCTACATTAAAAAAAAGAGAATACGTCTCCATAAAATTTGTGGTAATATTTTTTTGTTGGCAGTTGAACTTTGCCGAATAAATTGTTTGATTATTCTAAATAATCATTTGTGAAGCATACTGGTGAAATCAGGCACTCGTCAAAATAATGAAATCAAAGAAACCGACATTTTTCTCCACTCCACTGTCAATTTTTATCCATTTCATTTCTTTCTTTTTATTTATTTATTTATTTATTTATTTATTTATTTATTTATTCATTTATTCATTTATTCATTTATTCATTTGTTTGTTTTGTTTATATTCTATCTCATCACCCTGTGTCCATTAAAAACCCATTTTTGTGTGGGATTTTATTGAACAACTTTGAACAAAGGCACAGAAAAAATGTAACTTTGTTGTTTCCAATTCTAACACTAGAGCTTTGGAAGTCGCCAAACCTAGGAGGCCATGTTCCCGTTAATCGTGCCACCACCTCATTCAATGCGAGATGTCTCGACTCCTATTCAAAATTAGTGGTTATTTTTGGAAATCAAAAGCAAGACAAATGAACAAACTTTAAAACGATATCAATAACCCCACATGCTCAAAAACTGACGAGCCACGCCTGGTTCCACAGTGCTGTGACACATATATCAATAAATGACCCTATCTGCATTTGGATGATGTCTATTATCAAATTATTTTAATCTCAGGGTCGGACAATTCATCAGTACAAAGATGCCCAACTCTGATGATAGAAATGATATCACACTTAGATACAAGCCCGAAGAAGGTGAGTACTTCTCTTCCACTGTGACTGTACATTTTGTTTTCTCACTTCTTGTTGACCTGTGACCAAAGCGAGTAGGACACTGTTAAGTTTGTGTTAGGTTTTTACGGCACTTACAACGCAATTAGGTCACATAAGTGCCGAAGATTAGAATTATCACCATCAGAGACTAACGTGCAAAGAAAGAAAGAGGAAAGAGACACCAGATTTCGTAATACCTATCCCAACGCTAATCCCCGACCCCCAATCCAACCCCAACCCCCAACTGACCCCACTCCACCCCCACCCCCATCCCCACCCCACTTCAACAAAGCCACACCCACCCCAACCCCACCCACCCCCCTACTCTAGCATAAATAGTGTTCACGTGTTATGCATAATTATTTCAGCGTTTGGATTTCCCTCTTCCTGTTTCTACTACTTCCTACCACCAGACACGTGTATAGAGTTCCACCTTCAGTGTGACAAATTGGCGCCATTGCAGATGTTAGATACATAATATATACAAACTTAATAATCTTTTGTCACAACGATCTACAGGGTCTGCCGAGGAGAGGGCGGCCGTCCGCAAGGCCAACCAGCTGGCTTCTACAAAGGAGAACGTGTACAACATTTCTGCCAAGGTAGGGGAAGTTTTACAATCTAGATAGAGCAGAGTGGTGTTCATTGTTAGACAGCTAGATCCTGCAGTAGACGGACAACGTCAAGAGAGTAAGAGAGAGAGACAGAGAGAGACAGAGAGAGAGGGGGAAGAGAGAGAGAGAGAGAGAGAGAGAGAGAGAGAGAGAGAGAGAGAGAGAGAGAGAGAGAGAGAGAGATTGAGAGAAAGGGAGAAGAGAGGGGAGAGAGAGAGAGAGAAAGAGAGAGTCTGACCGACCGACCGACTGACAGACGCCGTTGCACTTAACATCAACCTAAAACATAATAATAAATCAGTAGGAGTAACGGCAGCAACAGCAACAGAGAACCTATCAATGTTCTAAATGTATTATTTATTTTTATTTGCCTTTTTTCAATATTTTTATCGCCAACACCGCTACATGTTAAGGTTTCTTTTTTCGGCAGTGCGTATGTGGGGGTGGGGATTGGGGGGGGGGGGGGGCATTCGTGCTGACCTTTTCAATGTCTATCAGAAAGTTTAGTAAGAACCAATCCCCTCCCCCGACGTGGGATAACATACTTTGCTTTAATCAAAATCTTTTTTAAAAAGTCTTCTCCCGACGAAAAAACAACAACCCCCAACTAAATACCCCGAGCCCATCCAAGTTTTCCAGGTCCATTCTATCTTTCTACTTTATTCCTTTTCTTGAATCTGCTCTCCGGTGAATGCATCAATCTCTTACAATATTATTCACTCCTTTCTTACTTATTTACTATCTCCCTGCACCGTTAGAAACTCTACCCCTGTACCGATAGGTATATTTAGCAGAGTGCACTCGATGCCAAGCTTATCTGTCTCTGGCCGCTTCCTTCAATCTTGCAACATCTAGGCCCTGAGTCCCTTAGCGAATGTCTCATTCAAGATTGTGCTTCTGCAACTTCCAGTTGGTCTTCCTCTTTTTCTATTCCAGTTGGTCCCCAACACCATGTCTGATAATGTAATCTTGTCTCTGGCACTCTCAAAACATGTCCTAAATATATCTCCATATTCACTCCTAGGATGTGGATTTCAAAGTGGTACAAGATGCGGCCAATACGTGGGTCGGTGAAGACTTCAAAGTGTCGCTCAAACTCACCAACAAAAGTGACGCAGAGCGCACAGTGAGCGGCCGACTTGTCGTCAAGACAATGTTCTACACAGGCGTGCTCGCTGACAAAATCGTCTCTTTCCCCTTCGAGAACAAAGTCCTACAGAAAGGAAAAGGCGAGTTTCGGTGTACTCTATATATTTAGCTATATTGATCTTTCTGAGTTTTTTCCCCCTTTTCTTGTATCGTGAAGTCGTTTTCAAGGTTGAAGCTTTTCTCCAGCTAGATTGTACGACACGTATCTTTAAAAGTATTCGCAGGTTCTGCAAGTTGTTAAATAAACTGAGGAGAGACATAATTATGCTGATGCCTCGCCTCTTCAAACGCATGACAATACCTGTGAGTTAGGCTGATGAGGTGTAAGTCCGATATTCAGATGGAGATAAAAATCAAATTTACTCCCAACACGACTGATATACATTAAGAAAATGTTTGGATTTTTACTTAAAATAGCAATTTTTGTCAACGTATATTATGTTTGCAGGCCCCCATCGACAATTTTTAGATAGTTTAGGAGGAGGGCATCGATTCTACCTGTCAGGGCCTACCTAGGCTGAGAAAGATACAACGTCCCAGCAGAAAGACGGGAGACACTTGATAAACATTCTCCCAATACAGGAGTCGAACTCTGGTCTTCTGTGTGCCACGGCTAAGTGCCTTAACGCCAAACCACAGACGCCAGTATACAGTTATTATTCGACAGAAGAAGAAGAAGAAGAAGAAGAAGAAGAAGAAGAAGAAGAAGAAGAAGAAGATGATGATGATGATGATGATGATGATGATGATGGCTAAATCCTACTTCATCCTGCAGATGACATTGTACCAGTAATTGTGAAACCACAAGATTACTTGGAGAAACTCAAGGACTGCTGTATGCTCGATGTATCTGTGTGGGCCTCGGTGAAAGAGACCAACCAATGCTTTGTCACAAAACGCGAGTGTAGACTGAAGAAACCACATCTCAGTGTCAAGGTGAGCTGTAATTTTACTTATATAAAGCGAGTTGTCGTCTGACGTGTGCTCTATAAAAACTACATGTCGTTGAAAGAAGAAAAAACTGCAAAAAGTCGGTACCTAATGAGTTCATCGATTCACAAGCTCTCCCAATGATATACATACGCAAATAATTTTTTTCTTTTTAAAATGTATACCTAAATGCAATATAAATTTTATATCACATAACTATTAATATAGGAGGTTCAATATACATGTTATATTACTTTTAACATAATATTGTGTGTACAGGACTTTTCACCTTGGTGGTAATGATGATAATGATGAAAATGATGATGATGATGATGATGATGATGATGATGATGAGGAGGAGGAGGAGGAGGAGGAGGAGGAGGACGACGACGACGACGACGACGACGACGATTCTCTTTTATCCACGTCAAATCCCTCGATATGCGTTCTAATTTTCCTTCCTCAGGCACCGGAAGAAGCTACCAAGAACAAAGAATTCAAGGTGGAAGTTTCCTTCACGAACCCTCTGGACACAACTCTTACTGGGTGCGCAGTAACTGTAGATGGTCTCGCTAAATCTCTGCGCTTCCCACAAGGGTGAGTTGTAGGCTAGAAAAACGCTAGATCTACCTTAGAATTACAAAGTTCTATATGACATTTGTGGGACGTTTTGAGTTACTAAGACCATGGGACCAGAAATCACATTTTTTGGGGTCTGCTCCATCAAAGTCGTTAAGATTTTTCGGAGTCGTTATCATGATGTTCAAAGGATTGCGTCGGGAAAACCTGACATGTTGTGAAACTCAAAATTATTCACGTCAGTTGTCCCGAAGCTAGTTGCTGAGAAGATAAAAGTTGATAATTTTAGGGCATCCAAGTGTTACACTCTTCTATACTTACAGCTTGTCTTTTGAAGGTTCAGACTGGATTGTGCACTGGAAATAATAAATCCTTCACGATAGTGATCGCTGGTAACGACTGAAGACACATAACATTAGAGATATGCCCGATGATAGAATACATTGAAGCACTTAAAAAAAAACACTTTTCAGGGAAAGAAAAGACGCAGGATCAGAATGTATTAAAACAAATTTTATAAAAAAGAAGCACCAAGCCAGTGAGATTTTTACTAGGATCCATCCCTAGACCACTGAATGATGAGAATAACATAAATCAAATATCGTATCTACCACTACCACAATTAACTCGGCTCCACACGCTTTTGTAAAGGATACTGGAGATTTAAACGCACACACGCGCACAGGGCGCATGCACACACGCACGCACGAACGCACACAAATCGTGCCATTTACGCTCTTATGGGTAGGACTTGGTCAGGCTATACTCAGGGGGAAAATGTAATACTTTTGGCTTATTATTATTATGATTATGATTATTATGTTATCTGTCCACGCGGTTTTATTCCAATTTTTTCTTCTTCTGAAATTAGGAAAAGCTGAGCCCAGAAATGTGAAACTCTACTTGGTTTACGGTTACAACAGGAGAACGTTCATAAATTCTCAATTATTTGGTAGGCTTAAGTGTTTTGGCACTTGCAACCTGATAAAGTCATGTAAAAGTACCGAAGATTAAAGATGTCACAAGAGAGTAGCATGCACATAAAAGTAGGAGGAAAAATAAGGACGGCAGATGTTTTATAGGACGGAAGGAGCAAATCACACTATAGTACCAGCCAACCACCCACGTCCGTATCGATGCTGACATTGGTCTACAAACAAGACACAATGGAGGTCACCTCGAAAGTGGGGCATCCCTTCTCCTTTGTTGTTGTTGTTGTCGTCGTTGTCGTTGTCGTTGATGTTGTTGTTGTTGTTGTTATTGTTGTTGTTGATGATGATGTTGCTGCCGCTGCTGCTGTTATTGTCTCTGCAGCAGCTGTTGTTGATGCTATCAACGATCTTGTTCTATTGCAAACTCAGTATTCTATAAATAAATATTTTCCACACCCCAGGAACGTGGCAGCTAAGGGAGCTTTCGTTGCCACCCTTCCCATCACACCAACCAAGGTGGGCTATAAGGAGATGATCTTTATCTTCAGCTCGAAGCAGCTTGAGGATATCAACGCATCCAAGAAAATCTACGTGCTCACCAGTAACGTCTAAAACTTGGAGACTTCGAATGAGTTGGAGACAACTTACTATCTTAGAATTACAATTTTCTATCTCTGACATCTTTGTTCGTTTTGAGTTACTAATGCCATGAGTTTAAAAAAACAATTAAGTGTTCTATCTGCTATATCAAAATCGTAAGATTTTTCGGAGCTGTAATCAAGATAGCTCTATTCAAAGAACTGCGTTCGAAAAGCTTAACCATAATATTGTGGAACTCTAATATTTTTACGTCAAATTTCTCAAAACTAGGTACTGAGCAGACAGAACTTTGTAATTCTATGGTAGCGAACTGCCAAATTCTCCAAGTGAAAGAAATTAATTGATCATTTCTGATAAAAATATGAATACCTTTTTTAATTTTTTAAATTACAACTGATATGTATAATTATATCAGCAAATAGATTGTTATAGTGACCAAGCTTCTGTCTTTTGTTTCAAGCAAGATTAGAGTTAACTCCTCTGCTACTGTAATATATATATGCCTACATTGGTGCCTTTCGAATGTAACACATTCAGACTAGTATTGCTTGTTTGAACATCACTGATTGACCTAAACATTTGAAGACTCCGGAAAGGGAAAAGACCAGATAAGTCACATTTTGAGAAGGTGGAGAACATAAGAATTCAAAGTTTAAAAGTTTATAATGGCCGTTAGTTTTCTCACAAAAGTGTAAAACTGTCATTTTAACAAAAGGTAAATTGTTGCTCCTTTTTAAAACTGAATTTTGTGCCGTAAAATTCTTCCCTTTCACCAGACCATTAAACGATACCAAGCCGTGCTATGAACTGTTGTGAGGGCAACCAATTAAAATTTTGTGTTTCGCCAGCTCATATATGACCAAATTTTAATGTAGTTGCGGGTGCCGTAAAGCTCTTACTAAACAACGTTTGATCGCCCATATCTCGCAATTTAGTAGGCATATAGCATTTTGTAAAAAAAATCAAACACTTACATATCACAGGACTAAGCTGCTGGATTATCCGTGAGATCATTAGCGGAGAATAAAATACTCAATCTGAAAGGAAAAAAAAAGACTGTGATATCTCATTTTTCCACTCGGCTTTTGTTCTACTTCTTAAAACAAAAAAATCAAAATATCTGTCAAAATAACAAAAATGATAAATATGATCACGGTGGGGTTTTGTAACAACGTGAACTCTTCAACGTCTTTTTGCACATTTTAAATCAATACTATTATTTTTCCTTTTGATATTATGTGTTTTTTTGTGACGTCAATATTCAAATATGCTAATCCACGTAAAATTATTTTAGATTATAATGATGAGGGCACGGAGCTCAAGCACACTTTAACACTCACTACGTTTACCCATTTCAAGCTGCTGCAGTTACAACAAACGGATAAAATTACAGGTATTATTTTCCTTTACCAAAATAGCCGAAATTCTTTCTATCATTAAATCAAATCTTAACATTCTCATAAAGTTTGGACGGATGTAATGTAATAAATGAAATGGCCTGATCATAGTTTTAAATAATATAAAAAACAACTAAATGACTAAACACGCACACACACACACACACACACACACACACACACACACACACACACACGCACACACACACACAAACACACACGCGCGTGCGCACAGGGCGCATGCACACACGCACGCACACATGCACACACGCACGCACACAAATCGTGCCATTTACGCTCTCATGGATAGGACTTGGTCAGGCTATACTCAGGGGGAAAAATTTATACTTTTGGCTTATTATTATTATTATTATCATCATTATTATGATTATGATTATTATGTTATCTGTCCCCGCGGTTTTATGCACACAAAAAAAAAAAATTCTGAAATTAGGAAAAACTGAGCCCAAAAAAGAGAAATTATGCGATTCTGTTAACTTTAACACTTTAACAAAGAATGATAAATCAAAATAATCAGAAATAATGCAAAGAGTAATCAATTAATTTTGCTAAATTATGCGGGGTGCATAAAACCCAGCGGACAGTGTTATTATTATTATAGTATAATTAATATTATTATTATTATTAGTACATGATTGTATTATTATCTAAAATTTGTCCAAATTTATTTATAGGCCTACATTTATTTTCAGAAATGTATAGGCGCCTCGCAATTCTTATATTTATCAACTGTTTTGCTATGTCACTGATTGGTTGCGTACTTCTCTGTCTCTGCTCAAGTGTAATTTAAAAGACTTTTATGTATGCAATCCTTACCGAGGAATTATGCGTGTTGCTTTTGTGATTACCTTTAGTACCCAAGTAAAAAGCTACTTTTATTTGACTCCAACACTTATTTTTGCTGGTGTTGTTTTCTTGTTGTGTTGTTGATGATGATGATGATGATGATGATGATGATGATGATGATGATTTTATTAAAACATTACATTTGAGTAATCTGAGTGCCAAGACTAATGTTACCCTGCTGCTGCAGATTTCTGCCAATTACATCCGGCTGTAGACCTGGAAGAAGTACATGTGCCAAACACTAGAGTTAGTCATTATGTTTCTTTTTTTTCTTTTGTTGCAAGTGTTTTACAGTGCTCGAAACTGCATAAGGTCATACGAGGGCGCGGGACTCATTAAACATTTTCAGTTAGTAGGACATTTTGAATTTTGCCAGGGTGGCGGCCGCAGCCTACTCTTATTGATTTGGGACCACCAAGGGATCTTTAACGTGCGCAACTTGCACACAGGATCTCCCATATTTTTCCCTCTTGTCCGAGAAGGCTAGGTGTAGATCTTTCCTACCATAAGATCAGGGGTATGGCTGAAAGACAGCAGTAAGAAGGAGCCATGGAATAGCAGTTCAGTAGAAATGCTGGAGGAGCCACATTATGCTCTGTATGACATCCTTATACTAAATTATAGACAAAGAACGGAGTCTTATCTTTATGCTCCAACAGATAGCGTAACGTTCTGTGAAATCCTACTCTTGTAGTCCGCAACAGGTGTATGGCTACACATGGTGCGTTTTCTCCTTTTTAACATTATTCTGAATAACACTGCAGTAAGCAACGTAAGGTGTCCTTGTCTGAGGAATTATAATGGCTCTATCCTTCAGACATCCAAGCTTTCTCAGCACTGAAAACTTCCAATTCAAATAGCTACAATTTTAGCTTGGGAAAAGAAAGAAATTAATTCAAAAAAATAAAAGACCCTGAAGTTCTCATCCCTAAGATTACGAAGAAGAAAAGGGCAGCAGGTCTTAGTGCAGAATTTAGTTTAAGTTTAGTTTTAGTAAAAGTTTTACGCATAAGGTCATATAAGAGTCAAAGATTAGAGGAGTCTCCAGAAAGTAACAAAAAAAAAAGAAAAGAAGGAGAGATTAAAGAAGATAAGTGTTTGGTAGGAAAGAAGGAGCAAACTACACCAGAGCACCTGCCTAATACCCACAGTACAGAACAGGAGCAGGAGACTTATAACAAAGCTTTTTTTTTTTCGTAAGAGTTTTACAGCACTTGCAATAAGTAAGGTCATAAAAGTGCTGAAGATTAGAGGAGTTACAAGGGAGTAACAAACACAAAAATGGAGGAGAGATAAGAACGATAGATGTTTGATAAGAAAGAAAGAGGAAACCACTTCAGAGCACCCTCCATCTACCCACAAAAAAGCTTTCAAATGAAAAGAGAGAGTGAAGTATAGAAAACCAAGGAACTACATTTTCATCATAATTTATTTTTCGAAGTATATATCAGCGCACATGTTCATACTCGTAGTCATAATGCTCTCTCTCACAGTATTGCGTATCTAGGAGCCATTATTCTACACCTTGCATCCCTTGCCCATCAAACTTTTGCATAGCAATGAAAGGACCACACCTAAATCAATGCACGTCTCTTACAAAAACAATCTGAAAACATTTTTTAAAAAATAGAATGGTACAATATAGTAGTAGAGATGCCTGAATTGAATGGACGGAAAAACACTGAACTTTCAATCACAAGAGAACTATTAAGTAACATTGCAAAAATGATGGACGGATACTTCATGCAATAATTTGCTTAAAAAATTAATTTTAGAAATGCATAGAGGCAATAAAGATAATAGGTGTGTATGATTCACCAATGTCTGTGCAAGGCAAAAATCCACATTTTTTTTTTTTATGGAGCTAAGAGAACAAAAAGGAACTACAGTGGAGTCCATTTACTTGAACAGAAAACTGCAGGACCACTGGATTTTTGGCAGTTCAGCCATATTTTTATTTTGGAGAGACTGCTCAAATTGGGAAGGAAAAAAACTGGGGACAAATATAAGTCTCCCTCTCTTCCACTTGGAAAGTAATTGCTGCTGGTGCCAGAACTATGTTAATTCATTAAAAAAATCTATAGAGTTAAACTGATGGAAAAAAGCCCAGCACTGCTATTGCTATCGTGCATGTATGTTGCAGGACATCAGCTGCCTGTAATTCCACTAACACAAAGTTTACTAGATCATTTAATTAACAAAGATCATAATTTTTACTATACATTCAGTTCAAAGCTTTTTTATGAAGTTAATTAAATGTAATGAATTTAATCTCAAAACAGAATACACTGTACAAAGGGGATGCTACATCTGATAAATATTCAGAGATATATACTCCTGCCCCCCCCCCCCCCCCCCCCCTCCTTCATCAGGCATCAGTGACCTTTGAGCATGTGCCCTTTGGTCCAGTGCTATATTAAAAAAGGTAGAGTTGTTTGATATTAATTCTTTGCTGCAGTATCAGGTATATATAACCCTATAAATTGTCTTTGGTAGAGACAGGAGGAAAAGATTGCTGTCGGATATCCTGTAGTTTGGGACACTCAAAGAGCAGACATTGACGTATTGCATAACCACCAAGTAAACATAACAATGCATGTCCAAAGCAAACATATGGTCAAGGGAACAGGGGGAAGAAAAGAGCAACTACCATCAACCATCCATTACACAAAAACAAAGTGAAAAAAGTAGTAGGACAGATCTATCAACAATCATCCATTTCACAGAAACAATAGGCATAAAAACTAATGCCTTACCAAAATCAACAAAAATATCATGAATGAACAGCATTAAGGTAGGGGCTTGACTGTTGACAACAAGTGGGTTTTTTTTCTCACAACTTAGCAGGGTGCGATTTACATCTGCAAATAATTGTTGCATAGCAGTACCAGTGGTGCCATCAAGTACATTGTATCTTGCACTCACAATTTAATTCATTTCAATAAACATAAACTTACAAGAAAAAATAACAATAAGAAATCCAATACAATGGAGTCTGCTTTAAACTCAGATTTGCCAGAACGCCACTTCCTTTGGTTTAGCCATATTTTCAGTTCGGAGAGATTGCTCAAATAGAGATGAAAAAAAGAACCCAAGGAATTCTATTTTCGTTCGGTTTACCATTGTTTTTCAGAATAAACATGTTTGGTGTAAGCAGACTCCACTGTATCTTAACATACTTTTTAGACTGTGAAACTTGTGCCATGCTGTAAGAAGACAAGAGTATCAACATTTATTTTGCTCTCCTCTTGTTGGCTCACGCACAGACATAGATACACATCATGCTTCATTTTCTACAGACTCCTCAATAACCTTCTGAGGAAAAAAAGGAAAAGATGCCTCCTCAGGTTTGCCTGATGAAAGCCATTAAGAAATTTGGAGGCCCAACTAACACCATTTCTGCAATGTTGTATAAACCTAACCAAAAACAACGATACTGTCATGAGTAAACAATAGCAGTCCCAGGGAAAAGTAGAATGAATGGGCCACATGTCTTCTTTACCCATCCCATCATGTTTGGCGCCGAGGTCCACTTACTTGGTTCAGACTAAAACAGGATTATTTTTCTTAATTAAACGATAAAAGCGCATAACGCGAGAATACTTGATGCCCATGCGGACACAGGGTCTGTCTTGCGAACAATCTCTTAATGAGCATTAAATGAGTTAATGATCTTGGCCATAACCATATAAATTTTCAGAAAGTAGAACGTAAATAGGAAGTAAAACTCATTTGTGAAAGAGTTGAAATGTTTGTCAAATAACACCCACCCACAAAAAACAGGATAAACGAATCGAAATAACAAATCAACTTACAGCTAATTAAATCAGCTGTGACACCACAGAACAAAATTTACAGCCACTTTAATAACAGATAACATTTGTCTTGTGCAAATCCCTGCTCAACAGCAAGCTCAAGGCGCTTCACAATCTATACCATTACCCCAGCAGACCTGAAAGCATTCTGAAACAACTTCAACTTCCTGGGAAGCATACAGTGCAAGCAGCCATTTATAGGCGCTAAAACACTAACAACATACTGACAAGAACTTTCGCTGTCCATGGCCGGATACCCATTTCCACCTGGGTGAAGTGAGAAAAATTCGTGTAAAGTACCTTTCCCCCAAAAACAAAGGACACAACGTCGGGCCCGCAGCTCGAACTCCCGAACCCACAACCTCATGATTCAAGTCTGGTAGTCTAACCACTGGGCCACTGACACCACTAATCGACCATCAACACTAGGAAGGTTAATCTAATATGAAAGGCAGAAACTAATCTTCAGGTAACAGAACCTGGTGATCAGGCTATAACTATGAGGGGTGAAGAAATAATCTGTTTGTGTCAAGACATCCTGGATTTGGACATGGGGACGTGAGGGTCTGCCTCATCCTGTATGCTCCATTGAGACATTGCCGTGGTCTCTGAACCTGAGGAGGTCAAAGATCACAGGTTATTTTTCTAGGTTTAAAACAACATTCCAGTGGGTGACTATTTAAGACTGCGTTAGAATCCAGTCTGCCTAAGAGCCAACTGAAATTTTCCTTTACAATTTTTCATGCCTAAAATGTTCCCATTAAAAATATTAAGGACAACAAACTTTTTTAACCATACAAAAGGGCATAAATATTTGGCGTACAAGGTAGACATTTATACAAATTTATATATGCATAGACCGTCTATGATGCAGCATCACAATTAAAAACCAATACCAACGTGACAACATGTCTGCCAAAGTCAAGTACATAGACAATTACAAGAGTATTGGTAAGAATTACTTTTTTTTTCTGCATTTCACACATCCGAAAGCATGTTTTAGTGTTACTCAATTAGTAAAGAAAAAAGAATCAAATTGAAACCTTTAGAAGCTTAGCCTGCATTGCTAGGACGTTACTTCGTGTAAAAAATAAATTTTACCTCAGTTTTCTCCAACTTAATCTGTTTTACATTTTCATCTTCATGTCACTGCAACTTCATCATTAACACAACAAGACAGCCAATAATTTTCCTTCACCAAGTATGGCTAACGAAAGGTTTTAGTTCTGTACCACCAAAGTGAACTTTGTCAGGTCACCACACACTGTGTCTCGCAGTCTCCGACATAACACGGTCAGGATGAGTACAATCATTCCACTTCTCAAAGGTGCCAACAGGCTATGACAAAAATTCTGATCTTTTTGAACCTCAAAGAAATGTGCATGCCGGAACTCAAAATTTACAAAATATGAGATCATCTAATACGTTTTGTATCAAGACTATTTTAAATAAAGTGCAACATATCAGCACAAAGAGATCAAAACATAAACAAATGTATAAGCAGGAGTATATTACTCGTACAAACATTCCATTTCTTCTTACCTTCTGTGGTTGCCCTTGCCTTCAGCGTTGAGTTGAATGTTGACATGGAATCCACAAACTGCTGTCTCTCTCGACCCTGAGGACAACGCAAAGAGGTATTCTTTTCAGATTGGATAAGAATCTAAAAGCCGTTTTCAGATAAAAAAGTTCATGAAAAACACATAAGGATACTGAATAGCAAAAAAAGAAATTTGTCCGGCAAAAACTTGCAAATTTAAGGAAACAACTCAATTGGACTCAAAAGGGAGTGGTAGCGATTGTTTAAAAAACCTGTAACAAAGATGAAAGTATGGCCGGTCCCAGAGTAGCTCTGTCGGTCTGACCTGTAGCTCGCCTGGCTCGCACTGTGCAAATGAATGTATACATTATTGTGTGCCTGAGCAGCGTCGCCTGTTTTTTGTCAACAGAGCTGCGCGCAGCTGCAAGTGTGTTTGTGTGTGTGTGTGTGTGTGTGTGGGGGATGCACTTGGCACATGACGTAAAGAAGAGTTGTCCCGTCTTGGTATAATTGGTCTTGGATTACACAGTACCTAAATATAGCAAGGCAGACCCGTCAGTTGCACACCTACACACGTCAACACACAGTGCGCAGTGCTGAGACGCAGCGAGTGTGCCTCGCGCTCGCTGAGACACAGGCGCCAACCCACAGTGCGGCTGTGCTGACACACACACGGAGTGCGCCAGGCGAGCTACAGGTCAGACCTACAGAGCCGCTCTGGGACCGGCCTATCTCTCATTGTCCTGTGTAGGAAAAGACATGGTTGCACAAGTGCAAAGTGTACTGTTCATCTTAGAACCGAAATTTCACACAGATTTATGGGGATTTTTTTCCAGAAAGAACAGGCAAAGAGCTTGATAGCATGTGACATCAATAACTTCCATTCTTTCAAGCATAACATTATATTCTTAAACTTTAGGTATTGACAAAATTGTTTAAGACCACCCATTGTTGAGAAGAAAAGTGAACCAAACGAACCAACATAGAGCCTCCGCAACAAAATCAGTGCCCACGCGGACACGAAAGTCGAATTGGAGAAAGCATGCCCAGAACCTCGTAGCCGAAACTGAACTGGATACGTACCCACGTGAACAACTGGTTGTTTAGCCCTCCCACACAACCGTGGAAGGCTGCATCAAGCAACGCGACTTTTAGCACCGATCTTGTCGTCAACTGCAACCGTGCTAATGAACCAGCCGTCAGGAAAACAGCAGCAGAGGCTACCCCCTGCCCGATGTAGAAGTCTGGACAGACGGTTCAGCTAAGCACGGTACCGAGTATGGCAGCAGTGGAATACTGATCAAGACCGGTGATACCGAACTTGACCACCGTGTACCCACGGGCCGGTATTGTTCCAGCTACAGGGCCAAGCTTGTAGCCCTCGACTCAGCGCTGGGCATGCTTGTTTCACTACGTACAGCAGGCAGCCTTCCCAACAGAGTAAGCATCCATGTATACACTGATTCCAGGTCAGCAGTCATGCACCTCTCATACAGCCCTACCAACCAATCTGAAAAGGTGGCGAGCTGAATCTGGCAGCATCTGCACAGCCTCTGTCAACGCTCCGAATGTTCCATCCACATACAGCGGATTCCAGGCCACACTGGACTGGCTGGGAACGAGGAAGTTGACAGCATCGCCAAAGAAGCAACAGCGCTTACCCAGATTGACACGCCAATCGATTTCTCGACAGCTAAAGCCGTCATCGACCGGTCGACCCGCGCAAAGTGGAAAAAAGAGGCGAAACCCAAACTGCCATTTGCCCAACCGCCATCATACAAGCTTGAGGCCTCACTCAGACGACAGGACCGTCGGCTTCTCTCCCAAATGAGAACTGGTGGAAAATCGCCCAAGCTGAGATAATTTCTCCACAAACTTGCGCCAGCAGACAACCCAGATCCGTCCTGTCGAGCCTGCAAGGAGGAGGGCGAAACTATGGACCATGTGTTCCTGAGATGTCCCGCCAGCTATCGTGCTAGAACCCGTCTGCTGGGACTTTTCAGTAACCCACTTTCAGCACTTTTTAAGGACCCCCGGGCAAGTGTTGAGTTCCTGCGTGCTGTCGGCATCGCTGACCGTTTATGACGCCAAAGCACCAGAAGAAAGAGAGAGAGAGAGAGAGAAGAAGAGTGGCAGTCTTAGACAGATGTCCATTGTACACAGAGTCACTATAATGTAAAAAAGCCAATGCAAAGTTGGGGGGATGGGTAGTGGTTGTTTGTAGGCTGTTTTATACAGGCGGCAGTTACAGTAAGTTCTACTGTATTTCATAAATGACTTGCATCTATTGTGACAGAGCTCTTCTGTCTTTGACGTTGTTTTGCTTGCTGTGACAGACATGAACGTTCTCATATTTCACCCACCTTTCCTGCCCTGAGGTCATATATGGCGGCCAGGATCTGGCGGCGAGAGTCGGGGTGAGCGATGCCGAGTTCTCGCAGATCTTCATCAGTGAGGGTAAGGAAAGCTTCCATGTCAACCTGAGAAGTTAAAAGACAAATCAAAGTTTCACACCATGATTGATGCCATTGCACATGTTAGAATCATTGCTTGGTCTGACATGCTATAGAGATTCAACAAAGCCTTACTAGACAAAAACAGATAATTTCAAAAGCAGATAGCATTAGACCCAGGGAAGACAAATAAACAAAGGATGAAACAAATGATCAATAGGTAGTTGGCCATGACGAGTTACAACAGACACTAAAAGTGTGTTGCCTTGGTCCTATATTTCATGGTCTATGATGCTTGCACATTTGACGTATTACGCTAACGCAGACTAGAAAATGCTGGCTGTAGCTATTTGATTAAGCTCCAGGTCATACTATCATAACTGTTTATCTCCTGAGAGCCACTCCCAGCGGCTCGCGATTGGAACTGCTGTACAGGTGAGCCGCTGATAGTGGCTCGGGCACATTCTTTTACAACAACTTCGACATCAAATTACTTTTCGACAATGGACGTTTTCATCATTTGTAGATTTAGTACCAAAAAAAGGCCCGGTGTAGTGGGTTTACCCCCACCCCCCCCCCGCCCTGGAGATAAAGAGTTAAGCATTAACAGAGCAATATTTTCTGCCCAAGATTCCAGTCCCCTGGAAACAGATAACTCTTTATCTCCGGCAAGCTGTTCCCAGCGGCTCGTCGTCAGAAACATAGTGCCGATGAGCCGCTGAACTATCAAAATAGGTTCACTTGCTTTGATTTAATCACCCATTTAGTGACGTTTTTGTCATTTTTAGATTTAGTACCAAAAAAGGGCCCCGGCATAGTGGGTATACCCCCCTCGGAGATAAAGAGTTAAGAAACTGAAAGATGAGACAGAAGTAGCAAGACCGCTTTTTTTGGTATGTTCATGTGCTATTTGAGAAAGATTGAAGAAAACCTCTCAACTGACAGGATTTTCCAGCCTATTAAGATTGACTTTGCTTCCTTGAAATGTGGCTTTATTAAAGAATTCAAGAACTTTGTAGAAGCTTTATTATTAGAAGAATATCCTTGATTAATCAGGATTTTGGAAGAGCAAGTTTAAAAAAAATAAAAAGTTCTGTGTCATTTCAAAGGGACGTCTTTTTTTGACTTTGTTATGCATGCTGTGACAGGTCAGACAGGAATATTTTCACATCTTTCTTTGACTCTCAGATAGACATCTTTGTGCTTGCCATTTCAAGGACTTCAAAAGTATCTTGTACAACAATGAATATGCTTTTTATAAACAATTTTTTAAAATGTTGCATTGCAGTAGTGATACTCTTATACAGTCTTCTAACAATATAATGCACTAAAGAACATTTAAGCACAAGTTGTATTGAAAAAAAAAAGAAACAGCAATCTACCAAATAACTGTGGCAAACTTTGTAACCCCTAAGTCACTGGAAATTGGTGTCAAAGTAAACAATAAGAAAACACATACCTCCTGCTCCTCAAAGATAGGGTTGTACTTTTCAAGTGACAACTTCTTCATGATACTGGCCAACTCATCTGGAAAAAGGAAACACACACATGATATCTTTCATAAAATTTCCGTTTTGTTGGGAGTTTTTTTTTGGCAACTTTGAGACAAATCTCTTGAAATTATAAAAAAAACCCATCCAAAAACATCCCCAGTGAGCAATTATTAATCTCGAGAGACTAGAATCTCATGTCTTTAAGCATATGCTACATAATTTTCAAGAGGCTCTAGAATCAGAAGACAATAGAAAAGAAGATACAACTATAATTCTAATATAACATAGACTTTAGGTAAAAATCAAAGATCTTTCAATTTTAGGAGGGTGCCAGTGATGACAACTGAATAACTCACACAAAATTTGTATTTTTTTCCACATTATCCAGCGACATGACTTTCAGGCTAACATAGTTTCTGGAGCAAGATTCCGAATAATTCTACACTTTAAAAATTTGCTGTATTGGAAAACACTGTTTACTTGTTTATCTACTGTCGCTTTTCTTTTACAAAAAAAAAGGAGAGAGAGAGAGAGAGAGAGAGAGAGAGAGAGAGAGAGAGAGAGAGAGAGAGAGAGAGAGAGTGGA